GTTGTTCATGAAAACCTTGGCAAACAAAAAGTTATAATTTTTTTTTAATTTTTTATTGTTGGTTGTTCAAAACATTACAAATTTCTTGACATATCATATTCCACACTTTGATTCAAGTGGGTTATGAACTCCCACCTTCACCCCATACACAGATTGCAGAATCACATCAGATACACATCCATTGATTTACATATTGCCATACTAGTGTCTGTTGTGCTCCGCTGCCTTTCCCATCCTCCACCCTCCCCCCTCCCCACCTCTCACCTCCCCTCCCCTCCTCTCTCTCTACCCCCTCCACTGTATAACCCTGAGGGTCTCCTTCCATTTCCATGCAATTTCCCTTCTCTCTCCCTTTCCCTCCCACCTCTCATCCCTGTTAAATGTTAATCTTCTTCTCATGCTCTTCGTCCCTACTCTGATCATAGTTACTCTCCTTATATCAAAGAAGACATTTGGCATTTGTTTTTTAGGGATTGGCTAGCTTCACTTAGCATAATCTGCTCTAATGCCATCCATTTCCCTGCAAATTCTATGATTTTGTCATTTTTTAATGCAGAGTAATACTCCATTGTGTATAAATGCCACATTTTTTTTTTATCCATTCGTCTATTGAAGGGCATCTAGGTTGGTTCCACAGTCTTGCTATTGTGAACTGTGCTGCTATGAACATCGATGTAGCAGTGTCCCTGTAGCATGCTCTTTTTAGGTCTTTAGGGAATAGACCAAGAAGGGGAATAGCTGGGTCAAATGGTGGCTCCATTCCCAGCTTTCCAAGAAATCTCCATACTGCTTTCCAAATTGGCTGCACCAATCTGCAGTCCCACCAGCAATGTACAAGTGTACCCTTTTCCCCACATCCTCGCCAGCACTTGTTGTTGTTTGACTTCATAATGGCTGCCAATCTAACTGGAGTGAGATGGTATCTTAGGGTGGTTTTGATTTGCATTTCTCTGACAGCTAGAGATGGTGAGCATTTTTTCATGTACTTGTTGATTGACTGTATGTCCTCCTCTGAGAAGTGTCTGTTCAGGTCCTTGGCCCATTTGTTGATTGGGTTGTTTGTTCTCTTATTGTCTAATTTTTTGAGTTCTTTGTATACTCTGGATATTAGGGCTCTATCTGAAGTGTGAGGAGTAAAGATTTGTTCCCAGGGTGTAGGCTCCCTATTTACCTCTCTTATTGTTTCTTTTGCTGAGAAAAAACTTTTTAGTTTGAGTAAGTCTCATTTGTTGATTCTAGTTATTAACTTTTGTGCTATGGGTGTCCTATTGAGGAATTTGGAGCCCGACCCCACCGGATGTAGATCGTAGCCAACTTTTTCTTCTATCAGACGGCGTGTCTCTGATTTGATATCAAGCTCCTTGATCCATTTTGAATTAACTTTTGTGCATGGCGAGAGAAAGGGATTCAGTTTCATTTTGTTGCATATGGATTTCCAGTTTTCCCAGCACCATTTGTTGAAGATGCTATCCTTCCTCCATTGCATGCTTTTAGCCCCTTTATCAAATATAAGATAGTTGTAGTTTTGTGGATTGGTTTCTGTGTCCTCTATTCTGTACCATTGGTCCACCCGCCTGTTTTGGTACCAGTACCATGCTGTTTTTGTTACTATTGCTCTGTAGTATAGTTTGAAGTCTGGTATCGCTATACCGCCTGGTTCACACTTCCTGCTTAGCATTGTTTTTGCTATTCTGGGACTTTTATTTTTCCATATGAATTTCATGATTGCTTTCTCTATGCTAAGCCTCAGGCTAGCATCATTCTGAATGGAGAAAAACTGAAGGCATTCCCTCTAAAATCTGGAACAAGACAGGGATGCCCTCTCTCTCCACTTCTCTTCAACATAGTTCTCGAAACACTGGCCAGAGCAATTAGACAGACGAAAGAAATTAAAGGCATAAAAATAGGAAAAGAAGAACTTAAATTATCACTATTTGCAGATGATATGATTCTATACCTAGCAGACCCAAAAGGCTCTACAAAGAAACTATTAGAGCTAATAAATGAATTCAGCAAAGTGGCAGGATATAAAATCAACACGCATAAATCAAAGGCATTCCTGTATATCAGCGACAAATCCTCTGAAATGGAAATGAGGACAACCACTCCATTCACAATATCTTCAAAAAAAATAAAATACTTGGGAATCAACCTAACAAAAGAGGTGAAAGACTTATACAATGAAAACTACAGAACCCTAAAGAGAGAAATAGAAGAAGATCTTAGAAGATGGAAAAATATACCCTGTTCATGGATAGGCAGAACTAACATCATCAAAATGGCGATATTACCAAAAGTTCTCTATAGGTTTAATGCAATGCCAATCAAAATCCCAACGGCATTTCTTGTAAAAAGTTATAATTTTATGTAGACAAGTTTGATGTTTTCTTTTATGGATTTCTCTGAGGTCACAGAAAATTTTCTGATTTTTTGGGGGGTAATATTTTATGATTTCATTTATTTTACAGTGATTTGATGTGGAATGTGTTTTGGAGTAGAGGTTCAGTTTTTTTTTCCCCAATTGGCTTGCTAGCTGTCTCAACAAGTTAAGATCATCCTCAAGACAAACCACAACAAGATTTACAGAAGTACAAAACCCCCTAAATCTGATCTAAACTGAACACTGTCTTCCTGACCATTAAGGCAAGACAACTGGTTCAGAACATTTGGCAAGAAATTTAATCTGTGGGTGTAGGGTATGTAATCCAAGATAGAGCCTGACCATCTCTGGCAATTGTACTGGATCTCTCCCTTGGTGTGGAATTGGGAGGGGAGGAATAAGAGCTCCTGGGTGGTTCCAGAAGTTAATCAGAATAGCAAGTCTCACCCATTGTAAGAGATCCTGAATGGAATTTAAGAATGGAATTGGAAGGGTTAAGGGAGCCAGAAAGCAAAGAACAAGTCTGGACAAGCAGGTATAGTGAAATATGAGGCCTAAGGGCTTGAGGCGAGCTCATCCTTTGAAAGGGACAAGGAAGGAGACACTGGATTTCTAAGGAGTCCCATAGCAATTCTCAGCCAGACGATGGAATTCAGACTAAGCTTTTACCTGCACAAAAAGGTGAAGCCAAGAATCCTAATAGCTCATAGACAGTAGCCCAGATCTTGGAAATATGGGCTGAAATAAGTTTTCTGAGATAAAGTAAGTATTGGAGTGGTGTTATTGGTTTACAAATAAAAATATTTACCACTACTAAGTCATACCTAAAGGTAACAGTGAACAAATTGGTATATTATTCCATTCCTTTTTCAACAAACTTCTAACAAATAAATGCCAGACACTGTGCAGACTTGGAGACAGATGAATAAGGTACAGGTTCTTGCCCTCCAGGTGCTAATCTAAGTAACATGCAGCAGGTCAGTGACAAAGACAACACAGGGGTGAGGTGCTCAGAGAGGACTCAGAGCTGAGAATTCTGAGCCAAGATCAGGAGGTAACCCAGCACTGCATTATGTCAAAAATCCTCCTTCTCCTTTTATGTAGGTTAAGTTAAAGTTTCTTTCAGAATCAAGATTGACATTAATGGTTCTGCACTTCTAGCCTCTTATTGCATGATCTCTTTAAATGCTGTTTGTTTGTTTTGTATTAAGGATGGCTCCCAGGACCTCCTGCATCCTTGACAAGTGCTCTACACTTACTACTTCCACAGCCCTACATGTCTCTGCCGGAGATCTAGTAGGATTTGACCTTAAGTAGATCTTCAGCCTGAGTTTCAAAGTATTTGTGAACCCTTTAAAATTGAGTGAGATTATGTGAGTGTGTGGGTCATAGGTTTTGTTAGAATTTTAAAGGAGCCTGTGACTCCAAGGACAATTTCAAATTAGTGACTTAGATTTCTTCAACCCAACTAAAGATATTTTATCTTTAAAATGATTTTTAAAACACCCTAACCAAACTCTAACCCAGAGATGTTTTAGTCACTGCTCATGGTCCCTTTATCCTTCTAGCTTCTTCTCCCAATTTCCAGAAATAGGAACAATAACTGGCATCGACCTCCTCTTAACTTTCCATGTTTATGTTTATTTGGCAACCCCATACTTTGCCATAATAATAACATGGGCAACCCTGTTCTTAACTGTAATAATGTGATTTCATCAAGCAGAGTTGGAAATCCACATTTCCAAGGCAATTTCTCATGTTTTCAGCCAGATTTTTTGTTCAAAAATGCTCATGTCTAAAAATCAAATTCAACACACATTTAACAAGTACTTTCTATACAAAAGATATCACACTTCATACAGAGCGAGAGAGGAGGGTAGCAGGACATGCTATTGACTTAAACCCAGTTTCTACCTTCATGGAGATCCGACATTTCATAAAACACACAGAGTGCTCTAAGGATCCAGATTGTTTCCTACCAGGGAGTGTAGGGAAAAAAGTCTAGAAGACATTCTAGCCAGGCAGCATTTCTTATCACTGATAATGCTGTAGACCTGTTCACCCTCCATTCCATATCTTCAAAATAAAAAGTGCAGACTCTGGAATGTTAACATCTGATCAGAAGTATTTTAAAAATAAAGCTAGGAAAAAAACTAACTTTTGTCATAGAATAACAAAGAAAGAAAAAATGGAAGCAAATGGTATAGAAAATTTGTACAATAACTTACTAAGGTATTAAAGGATATATAACATTATTATTCACATAAATAGAAGAAATTTTGACAATTGGTGGTTAATAAAGAATTGTATTATCATTATTGCTATCATTTTTTTTAAAAATATGGTTTTGAAGCCACCCAATGGAAAAATGTATATTTTCCTAAACTTTACTGTTTTGCTGGAAAGATTTACAGACTATGAGGGCTTTCCTACATGTAGATCAAGGACTTTATGTTTGTACATTTTTCTTCTTACTAAGTCATGTGTAATCAAGTGTGTATTATCGAGTAAATTTGCTGACTGCATTTAGATAAATGTTCACAAAGCAGTTTCACATTTACTATAAATCCTGTACAGTATATTAGCATGGGCTAATCATTTTCTTACTCTGTGTTTTCAGGATAAGCCAGCACCTGCCAAATTTTTGAGACAGCTCAGGGCTTAGAGGAAGGCTCATCTAAATAAAGGCCAGCTAAAGTGACATTGCAAGGATTTAATCCTCTGGCTGCCCTGTGAGTTAAGGCTGATTTGCAAGATTCTTCTTTCCTGGGGTCCAGCTTATCAGTCTCCAGAGCCCTATGACTTAAGAGCATAGAGAAGCACAAAATGAAGCAGGTCAGAGATAAGCACCAGCAGCAGGGACTTGAGGGCCTTGGAGAGGCTTTTACACACCATTGTGCAAGATTTCCTGGCCATCACGGTAAATAGCAAACGGGAGCCTAGGACGCAGCCACCTACTATAAAACAGCAGCCTCCACGTCCAGCCAGAAGTTCAAGTCCCATCTGGGAAGAGTTATGGTAACTGGACGTGTGTCTAGTTGTACAGGTAAAGCTTAGAAGTTCACGGCCAGGGAAGGTGGGAAGGGCTGGACAGCCTCTGTCTGTTCTCACTGAGGCTGGGAAGGAAGCTGCTCAGCAAGGAGTTTCTGCCAGCTCCCAGGACAGCTGTGTGGGACACTGAAGTCCTGCGAGCCTCGGTTCTCATTTCCCACCCACTGGGCCTCTGCCTCCTCTGGAACCTGCCCTGCTCCTGGCTGAGATGGAGACGTGAACCCGCGAGGACGATGACCGCAGTGTATGCAAACGGAGGTGGCCTGGTGAACACCCACAGTGCCAGGTGGGAGCGGCGAGACAGCGCGGAGAGCGGTGGTCAGACAGACTGCAACAAGGAGGGTGAGGAGAGACAGCCCCGCCAGTTGACACCTTTCGAGAAGCTGACCCAGGACATGTCCCACGATGAGAAGGTGGTGAGGGAGATCACGCTGGGGAAACGGATAGGTTTCTACCGAATTCGAGGGGAAATCGGAAGCGGGAACTTTTCCCAAGTCAAGCTTGGGATTCACTCCTTAACCAAAGGTAGGATCTGACTTCCCAAGTTCTTCCCAAGATATCCTGGGATCTAGTTTGTGGGTGAGGTATGAGGGGAGGCCAGGAGAGCAAAGGAGACTCAGCTGAGCACCTGCTACATCCAAGCCCCGGGCCAGCCCTCCTCGGTGGCTTCCCAGTTAATACCCACAATAACAATGTGAAGCCAATATTGTAGGTGGACATAATGCCTTTTTTTTTCATTTATTTATTTTTATGTGGTGCCTGAGGATCGAACCCAGTGCCTCACCCATGCTAGGCCAGCACTCTACCACTGAGCCACAACCTCAGCCCCAGAAGCCAGTATTTTAATTACTATTTTACATTTAGGGAAACTGAGGTCCAAAAAAGTAAAATGTGGGTTTGGTAGTTCAATCTTAGGAGTATTTTTGCTCCCCAAACTCCCACTACACCATCTGGACAAACTCCCACAAAGGTCGAGGTAAGCCTGCCCTCTGCAATCAGGCCATGGAGAAGGGGACTGGGATGTGGCTTGGTTCCAAGGCATCACATCTCCTGAGTCCACATTCATAACTTCTATTTATATTTGTGTATCAGTAACTATGGCACAGAGTGGCACAGTTGACTTCCCAGATGGCCACTCTCTGGATAGTAGATTCCAGTTTCCCCTCTAACCAGAACCTGCTACTTCTGTTATATTTGGGGAAAGGGGTTTGATCTCAGTACGTTTTCTGCTTCAGTCTATTTTGTATCTGTTCTCAGTGTTGCCTGGTTCCTCAGTCCACACTTGCTTTACTATTAGTCACTCTGGGATTCTGGACTAGCAGTGCCCACCACTTTGGCCTCAAGGAGAAACTGCATGGAGAGCTCAGCACCCTTTTACTGCCCAACCTCCTTGTGGGTATTTCCCCAAGGCACCTCTAACTTAGGTGAAGCCTGACAAGAAAGAAAGAAAGGAATGAAGGGAGGAAGGAAGGAAGGACTTATAAGCATAATTTACAATGCCTGAAGCCCATGGGCTCTACTCTCTCCCAAGAGTCCCTTACTAACATTTTTTCTCCTTGGACCCAGCATGCTACCATGTCCCAAAGCTTCTCTTTTCTTCTATCACAATTGTCTTTTGCTTTCTTTTTTTCTCTAGCCTTTTTTTCTCCTGCAAAACTGTGCCCTTCCAATCCCTGTGTTTGGTCTCTGTGAAAAAAAAAAAAAGCCTCATTCGCATACACATATGCATGCATTACCACCTCCAACAGGCACACATGCCAGCACATACACTCACAAGTCACAGGAGCTTCAAGTCCCCTTCCATGTTGCTCTGAAGCCTGAGTATCTGGGTTCATGTCTTGGCTACTTTACTTACTTATCTTGGTAAATTACAGTACTTCTCTGAGCCTCAGATAACTCATTAATAAAATGTACAAAATAATAGTGCTTACTTTATAGTCCATCAGAAGTATTAATGAGTAAGTGCTCTATAAATGTTAGTTATTGGTATTATTTTGCAGAGTTGGTTAAGCCTTGCCTCACCTTTGTTTATAACTAAAGATCAATGGTTCCTTTATCAACAGAAGTTCATTCCCACATACAAACCAAGATCCTTATGTCCTGTTTTCAGCTCTGCTACCCACAAATTACTTGAGAAGGAAAAAAAGAAAAAACCCAGACCCCACTCAAGAGCTTCAGATTTAATTGGCCTGGGTTGAGGCTATTTTAAAATTCTCCTGGTAATTCCAATTTATTATTTTAAATTTTATTTTAAAATTCTCCTGGTAATTCTAATGGATAGCAGAGCTAAGAAACGGCACCTAAGCGATTTGCATATGCTGTAGACAAATGACTTTTTAAAAAAAGCTTTTTTTTTTTTTTTTTGTTACAAATCCAGGTAGCTTGTCTTTTAGACTCAGTTTAGAAGTATTGTCAGGGTTTGATGCTGCATTTACTTTCAAATTTCATTTTCACTTGGGATAATGTTCATTTACATAAATTAGATGCAGTTCCCACCCTCAAGGATAAGGGGAGAGAAAAAACATATACAAATAAATATACCACAAGCAAAATTTGAAACTTATATAAGAAAAGTCATGGATTTAAAAGAAAGAGACTCTTCCATCTTGGGGACTATTGTAAAAGGCTTTCAGTAGGGATAGTTCCACTTCAAGGATGAGTAGGATTTTGGATCAGTAGTTATTAGAGGATGGAGGATAAATGGGTAAAATAAAGTGAGTTAAAACCATAAATATGGGAAAATGATGTGTGGTACAGTTTCCCTAAACACTAGGAAATGGTGGGAGGAAGGACTGGAAGCTATGTTGAGGCTGAATCATGCTGGACTCTGATTTTTGTCTTAAGGATCTGGAATTGCTTTTTTTTTTTTTTTTTTTTTTTTTAAGAAATAAAGAATCATCAGGATTTCTGTGGTTAGGACAAGGCTTTTGGAAGAATAATCCTATAACAGTGAGAATGATGTTGGGAAGATAGGGTACAGGAGGCAGGAAGCAATGGTGATAGCTCAGACAGATTAGAGGAGATCCTGAGCCAGATGGTGGCTGTCAAGATAGAAAGAGCTGTGTGATGCTGAGGAGAAGAATCCACAGGACTGGAGTAATGGTCAGGGTTCTCCAGAACCAATACATGGTATGTACATATGGATGGATGGATGGGTGGATGGATAGATAAGAGATTTATTATAAGGATTTGGCTCACATTATTATGAAGAATAAGAATGAGAATTCCCAATATCTGCATTCAGGAGCTGGAAACTAAGGAGAGGCAGTGGTGTAGTTCCTATCCAAAGGCAAGATCCAAGCCAGTGTTGCAGTTGAAATCTGAAGGATGCAAAAACCAATGTCCTAGCGTAAGGCAGTTGAACAGGGGGAGTTCTCTTACTTGGGCTTTTTTTCTATTCCTATCTTTAACTGATTGGAGGAAGACAGCATTGGGAGGACAGTCTGCTAATTCAAATATAAATCTCATCCACAAACACCCTCACAAACACATCTAGAAAAATTCTTGACCAAATGTCTGGGCATCATTTGGCCCAGTCAAGTTGACAAATAAAATTAAACATCACAGTTGGTAACTAACTGCATGTGGAACTGAGGATGGAAAGAAGGGAGAAGGCACTAACTTTGCCTTACTTGATGATGTGAACCAAAAGAAGAGCAGGGCTAATACAAACAGGGATATGTCAAGGAAGAGCAGAGGTGAGATGGAAAACAGGTCCCAGAGGACCTGTCTACCTGGAAGTCTTGTGCTCAGGCAGGGACATGGGCATAAGGTCAGACCATGTTTAAATTGAGGTGATCATGGAAATAGATGGAAATTACTGAGGAGGACAGTAGAAAAGGGTGATGAGCAACTGTTTTATACCAAAATAACTACTGGTTTACATCCTGATTGGCATTTTATATCTATATAAGTTGTATGTATATGTGTGTGTGTGTGTGTGTGTGTGTATACACACGCACATATATATGTATATATATATACATATATTCACACACATACATACACATAAATGTGTGTGTCATATACATGTGTGCATTTTAAATATGTCAATGGAATCATTTAATCTTGCTCCATTAACACCATGATTTTTTTTCCAGTACAGGGGATTGAACCCAGTGCTCTACTGGTGAGCTATACCCCCAACCCTTTTTATTTTTATTTTGAGACAGGGTCTCAATTCAGGCTGCCTTGAATTGTAATCCTCCTGCCTCAGCCTCCAAAGTGGCTAGGGTTGCTGGTGTGCACTACTGTGAAAACTACCATAGTGGTAAATACCATAATATAAAAAAAGAACATTTAAATTTTTAATTGACACATAGTAATGTGTACATATTAATATAATCTATACATAGTAATTATACATATTAATGGGGTACAATGTGACATTTTAACACATCAGATCAGGGTAATTGACATTTCTGTCACCTCAGATAGTTTATCATTTTCTTACGTTAGGAATATTCAAAATTTTCTCTGCTGATTTGAGGGTATACCTCAATGGTGGAGTGCTTTCCAAACTTGTACGATGCCCTGGATTCTATTTCTAGCACTTCAAAACAAAACAAAAAAATAAATAAAGAAAAATTCTCTCTGCCATTTTAAAATATTCAATTAATTATTGTCAACCATAGTCATCCTGCTGTGCTATAGAATGTTAAGTTATTCCTTCTATACCACCCAACCCTGGGCCCATTTATCAACTTCTCTCCATCGCTCCCTCTCACACCTCCTTCTCAGGTTCTGGTAAACACTTATATATTCTCTATTTCTTTGAGGTAAGCTTTTTAGCTTCCACATATAAGTGAGACTATATGGTATTTGTCTTTCTGTAATTGACTTATTTCACTCAACATAATGTCTTCCAGTTCCATCCATATCATTGTCAATGAAAGAATTTCATTTTTTTTTAAATAGCCAAATTGTATTCTATTGTGTGTATATGCCACATTTTCTTTATTCATTTGTTTGTTGGTGAATGTGTACATTGATTCCATCTGTATGTTGGCTGTTGTGAACATACAGGTGCAGATGTTTCTTCAACATACTAACTTCAATTTCTTTTGAACACCATAATTTCTCAAAGCCATTAATTATAGATATTTTTCAATTCAACGTGTATTAATCCTGTCACTTTTAAAACCTACATAGAATTCCATTATACAGCAATAGCATAAATTCTTTAACTTGATCCCCATTGATTAGTGTTTTGATTGTTTCTAAAGTTTTGCTGTTATTTAAGATGATACAAAGATTATCTTTTTCCATGTATCTTTGCATACTTGTATGACTTTTCATATTCCTAGAAGTTAGCTCTCTTGGTCAGAAGGCATGCATGGAAAAGTTTTAACGCACAGTGCCTGATTGAAGGGCAGCTTTTGAATCTTTACTCATAAATTAGGAGAGATGTTGCTTTTCAGTGGCCTAGAACAATAATGAAAAACAAAAGAAAAGCCCCAGTGGAAGATAAGGGGCCAGAAATTGAGGCAGGAGATATGGTTAGGAAGGATAGAGGAGAATTTGGA